GACTGCGTTGATGGGGATCTCCAAGAACTCTGGCTATCTCTGGTCCTCTTGGATGAAGTCATTGATGACCTCATCGGTTCAAAGACTCTTCTATCCCTCGGTCTCATTGGACTATTAGCCCCCATACTCAAGACCCTCTCGATCGCCTTTAACTGGCGGGATAACTCAACGAAGACTCTAGGAGGGTTGACCGTTAGGTATGATAAGATGTCGAGGTACATGCTCTCTCTGAATCTACTCAACCTAAGAAACTATCACTTATACTTTATCACTATATGATCCCTCTAAGCTAAATACAAGAATTAGTCATTTAGTTCATCGGTATGGGTTTCTCCAATGTATTTCTATATGAACTCAAACAAAAACTACTCTCATGACGGTCTCTCTAGCTCTATAGCCAACTCTATCGTCTCCCACCAGTCAATAGTGTCACTCTTGAACATGAAGGTGACATATTCGAGCTTACCGTTTAGGGTAAGGTGTAACTATATGAGGGTGTGGAGAGTCTGCCTAAGCCGCTGGTATACTACTATGGGATCGTCATCCCCTGAACCATGGAAGTCAGTGGTCTTGTATCTGCGAAGCCTCTCTAATAGGAACTCTTAGACATTCCTATGGTCTAGGCTAGAGGTGTTTATGAGAAATGTGGTACAGCTGAGATGCTAGCTAAGACCTTAACTATCCGTCTTAGGGCTGAGGTGATTTCCCTAAAGAAGGTCACCTCCTCGACCCCTACATCTACGAGTACCTCCTGCTGGTATGTATATGAGACAAATTCATCACCGATGTCGGTTGTTAAGGATGCATGACTCTCATCCCTATTGTCCTGATTTTAAGTTGGATCATCCACCATAGGTTTAAGTTGGATCATCCACCATAGGTTTTCTCTAAAATTAGAAAGAATTGAAGGTTATTATCATCATTTCAGTCTTTATAGTACTATTGACTATCTAGAGGCATGCACACTCATAGACGCTGACTAACTCTTACCCGTGGGTCCTAGGAATGACTAAACTTGATGCTATGGTACCATTAAATATAGCATCCTAATCCAATTCGACCCAAAGATCTATGGATTAAGATGTCACACGTGACCACCGAAGTGGTTAACCTGAATTTTTTAAAATCAAATGTAAAACATCACGTAAAATCCATCCTAAGTAAAATAAAATAAAATCATAACAATCAAGTTTACATAATATGGAGAGCTCCCAAATCATCCAAAATAAATACATTGAGTTAAAAATCAAAATAGATTTACGACTGAATACAAAATGGTCTACAATAGTACATGTCCACTAATATAAAATTAAGACGTACTATGAAACCTCGGCTGTGCTGGAATATCTAGTGATGATAACGCTCCACGGATGACCTTCTAAGAACCTGCACACAAAAACACATTTCGAGCACTGAACTAATGACCTTAGTGCCTTACTAATAAATATATTATACTACATGTATTCACTAGATGTGCATGGTAAAGGCATAAGTATGAATATGTGAGGGAAAATTGATATGGAATATTGAGGTAGGCATCATGGTGTGGTTTAAGGTTCTGCATATCGGAGCTCACACACCTCTCCATCCTTTCTAAATACCCTTGGGTATTTAAAGTGAGATCGAAAACTGCATCAGAAACGTACACCTGACCAACTTACTATGTCGAGTCTTGAGGTATCTGCGTCCAACTAGCGACTAAGTGCCTTGGCATTGACTGGGATATCCAACTATATGATCGTATCTACTAAAGTAACTTAAGTGTCCTGACTGTGTCACGGGCATAAAACAAGAGCATAAAACAAGGCTAGTTTTATGTCATCCTAATCGTTATTGTTTCTAACTGTTATGAGTTTATTTCTGTTCTCACTTGTAGTTTTATTTCATGGTATTATGGTGTAATTTGGTCCTTCAAAACTATCCTTTAAAATCTTTGGGTTTCTTACTCAAAATTGATTGTGGGTACTGATACTAAGCCCCTTAGTATTGGTACTGACCTCTGGGTATTGATACTAACCTTCGGGTATTGATACTACTAACTTATTGAAGGCTGATAACAAAGGGTTGATATTGATACTCTAGCTTGAGTATCGATACTTTTGGCCTTTAGTATCAATATTTTCTTGAGTATCGATATCGGATTTGGCTTTGATATTTTGAAAAATACCTAAGTATCGATACTCTACCCTTGGTATCGATACCCCCATGAGTACCGATACCAAAAAGAGCTACAGGAATCTGTTAAGTGAACTTGGTATCGATACCACCCTGTGAGTATCGATGTCTCACCTACAGTATCAATACCCATTGAATGTGTATCAATACTTCTAACCCCAAAACCCCTTTATTTTTATCATCTGAAGAACATTACTGATATTATTCTTCTAGTACTGATACCATTGCCCAATAATACCCTGTTTGGGAACGAAAATACCTCTCCAATACTCCCCTAAGTCCTACTGAGGTCCCAAACATTATTAAAGTGTTATGTATGATTATAGGGGTCATAAAAAGTTTGTAAACATACTGAAAACACCAAACCACTCAAATCAACCATTAATATGCTTCATGACTCATGCAAGCTAACAAACTCACCTAGTGATCTACAATGTAGTAGAGTTGAGTTAAAAGTGAGTTACGTTGATTTCTTAAAATGTTGGAAGTGTCCAAGGCTCAACCAAATGTTAGTTTTTCATTCCCTTTAACCTTGGAGATTTCTCAAACTTCTCTCACTTGACAATAATCTAAACATTTGAGGCTTAAACTATTTGAAAATAAATTGAAACACTTAAGTTCCATAAACCCCCACAAAACCCATATTTAGCTACCATGGTAAAATGAAGAGGTTGAGGGTTTGATTTGAAGCTCTAAAGTTGAGGACTAAGATTCTTACCTTTAAAATGCCAAACTGTGGTTGCAAGGCCACCAAGTTATCACCTTTCCAACTAAAAATGATATAATTGTCTCATTGGTCTTCCTAACTTTGGTTACAACTTATAAATGCCCTTTTTGACATTCATTGACCCCCAAACAAGTCCAAATCAACACCCTTTTCGGCTAAGCTTTCATACGAGGCTAATGACTTTTTTAAACTCACTCTGGCTAACCCGAAACTACTAACCCGTGATCTGGGGTGTTACACTTCTGATGAAGAGTTTGGAAGAAATTTTATAAATGATTTCCTAATTCAAATTCTAAGATATCTCTCAAAGTTGTTTATTAGATTTGTGCCTCAATTAGCCCCTCTCTATGTATAGGGGAGAAGAAATGAATCAAAAGGTTAAGATCTTTTGATGCAGTGTTAAAACCTAATAGGTATAGTTAAAAAATAAATAAATATAATTGAATAAGTACAATTGAAAAATAAATTTATTCACAAAGTGATATTATTTATTATTATTATTAGTACAATAGGAGGAAAAACAATGGTCTTTTTCAACAACAGTCGTATCCATGTCCTTGTGTAGGAGATTGTCAACTGTTGGTGGAAAACGGCTAAAAACAAGTCATATTGTAAGGATGCGTCCATAAAATCTTTGTCGTCGCATTGATAACTTTATTACTCTCGTGTACCACATGCGACAAACGAAGATGTCAACATCGAGAAAGTAACTCAATTAAGTATGGAATTAAATTTATTTATCAAATCATATGACTTATTATAAAAATAATTAAATTTATTTAATTAATTTGTCGTTTTTCAACAAATATAAATATGTTTAGATATTTCATTATTTACAATTCTTGGCTTATTTAATATATGTTGAAAGACACTTCAATTGCTTCTATCACCACATCTTTTGAAATAAATAAAGGTCGGTCCAATTCAATTTGGTGCAACATTAAGGTTGTGAGTTGACAATTGTGACTCCATCAAACCAAATCTACCAAGATTTTCAAATCTTTATTTTATCTGTTTTTCATCAATTAAACATATCTTCACCAACGGTGGATATGTGATAAGGGCCGATTGACTTATTTCACATTTTTTTTTTACAATTTTTTCCACTTTATATTCCCAAAACAAACAGAAAACGTCGAGATTACTCACCATTTAAGAATTAAGTAAAATGTAATTAAATATATAAATTGTTACAATTCATAATTTTAAAATAATTGTTCCTTTTTCATAGTCTCATGTTGTAACTTTTCTATTGATATTGGCAATCGTTGAGTATATAAATATGAGAAGGTAAGGTTAATACTTTAATGCTGTGAGTAAAGATAGGTACGAGTATAAAATACAATCCAGTGATATAAAATTAAAAAGAGATAAAAATTAATTGTATTTAAAAAATTCATTAAGAGTGTAACATTTTAGATTGAAATTAATAATATTACGTTTCTCATAAAAAGATATGTAAATTGTATAACTATTCTGATTGTATTCTAAAAAGTTGTCGTCAAGACATTATAGGTTATAAACAAAATTATTATCAATCGTGTAACTTTTAAAATTAGACATGTAATATTTTAGGTTAAAATCCGTTGCATTTTCGATTATGTAAGAAATCATTTCCAACTATATAACCTATTATGTTGGATAAGATAACATATTAAGTTAAAACATATCATAAATTTATCTTACGTTAAATTGCCGCACAACAAAACTACCCAAAGATATAATCAATATAAAACTTCAGGGTAAATATAAATAATAATAACATAAATATTAAACTGGAATTATTAAATAATTAATTTAAAAGATAGAGCATTATGTTTTAATTGTTAATTTTAAAATTGATAAGAATTTTAAAAATATATATAATTTGAAAAATATGGGTCATGGTTTATTATTATTTTTAAATAAATTTAGAATAAATACAAGATAATATATGTTTAAAATTTCTCAACTATTTGATAATAAACGTTCATATCAGTATACACAGTTCTTTAACTCTAGATCTCAAGATAACAACATATTTCTTAAGCACTGAATTCATTTGGTTTATGCTATGATTTAATTAATCTTGTTTCAAAATTAAGAGTAATTCATTTTAATATAATTAGGAGCCTTCCGTTTCTTCGCCGCAGCAACATCAACCTGTGGTTTCTTCGAAGAGAAGTGGAGGAGGAATGCTTACCATTGTTGATTATGGCCACGATGAAGCTGCCATGTCACCGGAGCCCGAGGTGCCAAAGTAATTTTTTTTAATAAAAAAGGGGTTCCTTTTATTGTTTACTGATATGTGATTTGATTACCTTTTCTTGTTTAAGTGCAGGAAGGAGAATTAGGAAGCAATGATGACCTTATGATTGGCATAGAGCAACAAAATGCCAGTGGTACTTACTAATTTTCTTTTGATCAATTTAACTTCAAATGTTACTTTTGAAATTGGTTGCTTCCTGATTTATCATTTGTTTGCAGGTGTTTTTAACGCATCCGACAGCTGTTCAATTGAGTCCACCATCATCTGCTTTAGAACCGATACAGCCTGAGGCCTTGACCAATGCTGTTAGTGAATCAGACGGTTTAGAAGTCGAGGAAGCAGTTTCCATAGACAATGTCGATCCCTTGGATATGTTTCTTCCTCCTCCACCAAAAGCCAAGTGTTCAGAGGAGCTACAAGTAAGTCTCTTTTTTATGCTATTATTCATGAATTATAATTGTTGTTGTTCTTGAACTTCTGTGTTTTCACACACACACACACACAAAAACCTAATTGAGGTAGGTGTAGTTAAGGTGTTTCTGTTTGTTATCTAAGACCAGACTGGTCCTTGGCACTCATTAAGTTGTAGATGTTGATTCTGGTTTATATGGAGCTCACTTATATTTGAGTTACATTTGTTTTTTTTTAGTTAATTGTAAATTTTTAATGTCAGTTTTCTGCACCGACGCACGTCTGCTTCAAGCTTATGATACCTAATCCTTATGCACATAGTGTTTGTGTACTTCTTTTGCATTTTTATATCAATGGGCATGTCTCTTGCTGATAATTTAAAAATGATCCAAGTTTTGTTACCTTTCCTTCTTCTTTTTCATGACCTTTATTTCTTTCTGCTTCATGCTACAGAGGAAAATAGATAAGTTTCTCAACTTGAAGCGAGTTGGGCAAAGCTTCAATGCAGAAGTTCGTAATAGGATGGATTACAGGAATCCTGACCTTTCGCTGCATGCTGTAAGGTATCAATGAAAACTCATAAATGAGTTGTGAAATAATGGGAAATGAATGATATGCATATGACCGCCTATGTATGAACTAAATATGTGCTAAACTAAGATGTATATACATATGATGAGCTAGGATAAGATGAATAATCATATGATAAGCTAGTTATGAATGCATAATCATAAAATATGCTAAGTAAAGATGTGAAATGAATGCCTACACATCTATATGCAAGATATTATATATCTTATCAGTTGTAGATGGAAGTTCTTTAAAAGAAACAAAAGCTTGGTTGCATTTAATTGACAGAACTTCCCTGAATTGTTTGGCCCTTGATATGGTGATGAGTCCTTGTGACATGACTTCTGGATGAGGTGTTGGCATGCTCACATCAAGACTTCTAATAATTTCGTGTAACTTATCAAAACAAAATCTAAAGTTTTGAGTACCATAATTATTTAACTTGTTAACCTACAAATAGTAATAATTACCATATATGTTTAACATCACCAGCTAGGATCACTATAAAACCCTCAACCATGATTGATATAAGGGCTAGACTTTTCATAATCTAAAATTTATTATTCATCTTCTCTACGATCATATCTATAAGAGGAAAGTATCAACCAACAATTGTTTCTTCATTGGTTGTGACTATTCGCTCAAATCATAAGGGATGGACGGCTTAGGAAACAAATTTATTTACATTAACAGTTTATATAAAAAGTGAGTCTTCCTCGTTCTCCGCCTTGGAACACTCATTTCTTTTTCTCTTTCTCCCGTTTTACTAGAGGATTAAATTTATTAAATTAATAAAATATAGAAATAATAAATATTAAATACATAATTATATACTTTTTAAATTATTATGTGAATAATTCTGTACACTACTATTAATTAAAAATGATTTAATTGATAACATTTTAATCATTAAATGATTGAAGTAAAAAATTAATTCAATTGTCAAAATAAAAATCAATTCTGTAATTCAATAACTAATTCATTGATTTACCGTTACTAAATGATTGATATTTTCCATCATTAATACCCACGGCCGAAATTGACATATCTTATGAGTAGTTTTTCTTTTGAATGAAGTGTGAAAAATAATATAAATTAGGCATTAAGGGTTGCTGCATGTTGCTTTCTCTGCCCATACGAGCCAATTTTCACGGCAGGAGTTTGAAACAAAAATGTTCTAAACGGACTCGCCCAGGTCATATGAGCCAAAGCATCAGCCACACAGTTGAGTAAAAAAGAAGCTGCAAATTTCATCTGCCATCAAGTAACTGTGCAATATGGAAGTAAAAGGAAGTATCAGCCACACAATTACTCTGCCTGGGAGTAAAAGGAAGCTGCAAATTCCATTTTCCGTCGGTAATCGGGAAGTGATTTTTTACCAGTTATCGGCCTAAAATGTTATTCATGTCAATCTAAAATTAATAAAATTTTCTATTGCAACTAGGTTTTCTAAATTGATTCCAACTTAATAAGAATATTTTAGATTTCAACCTGAAATATTATCAAACACATAACATTTTTAGTTTACGATCTGAAATGTTACCAAACATATAACATTTTAGGTTGGTACTAGTAATATTTCATGTTTCAACCTAAAATTTTAGGTGGGTTTTTGTATCTTCTTGGTTTGAATGTATTTCATGGCAAGTGTCGATACTTGTAGCTAAGTATTGATACTCGCTCCCACCAACCTAAAATATTATATATATTGATAATATTTTAGATTGAAAATACAAGTACCAACCTAATTACAAATATCGATACTTTTCGTGAAATAAGTATTGAACTACATTTAACATTTTTGGTTGCAACCTCATACATATAATTATGAAATATAATCGATTTAGAAAGTTTAAACACAAAAATCTCATAATTTCCTTTCTTAGTCTAACTATAGCTAAAAATTTTATGATTTTTTACCCGTTGATGATAATAAGTTTTACGTTAGGCAAACATTGATTGGACCAATAATATTTTAAATTCTAACAAAAAAAGGGTAAACTACGCCAATAGTCACTAATGTTAACATAAGTGTTCGTTTTCATCACTGGTGTTTGAAAAGTCACAAATCGGTCAATAATATTATCGTTTATTACAAATTAGTCACTAACGTTATCATATGTTACAAATTGATCACTTGTCATTAACAGTCGTTAACAAATTGTTACTGCAGTAACGAAATATTGACGTGACAAGTTAAACCAACTACTCAGCATATTTGACCAACCCTTTATTTTCTTCTTCTTCTTCTTCTTGACCACCAATCTATTTCAACAGCTTATATTCAGAAATAACATACTCGAGAAATTTTAAAGCACACTGAATGGAATGCTAAATGAAAGTTTTTACCTCTTCATACTTCAAATCTCGGGCAATTTCAAGTCCCTCTGTGCATCTGTTTTCATTAGTGCCTGGCATCTTTCGAAGCCAGAAATGGACCGATGGAAATCCGGCCTCTTCTAAACAGTCTCTATTCTGACATTTAAGCCAGAAAACGACCACCTGGACGTTTAAGCCGCTATGTTATCAAATCCAAAGGGAAGTTATTGAACTGAAAGGAGAAACCTGATAGTAACGTGGCATCATAAACAAGAGAATACAATAGGGATTTAACAGAACTTACAGCTTCCAACTGTATGAAAATGCATGGCGAAGTTTCTTCTGTTGCTTTTGAAGATGAAAGTTGAGACTAATCCTTGTTTTGCGTTCGATGATGTCGAATTAAGCTTTCTCCCTAGTATACTGCACACATTGCATTAAATGTTTCAGTATGGATATCATAACATGAGATGTCCGTATATGGCTTGCACTTATGAAGAAAACAAAAAAAAACCAAAAATTGAAGCAAAATGAAACTTTAATTACACCTGAGAGAAGTTGAACCCTCCAAACCTGAATATACCACGGAAAGGCAACCGAATGTATACTACTTTTTGCATGAAATCCCTAAACAGTACTTTGCATTAACTTGGTTGTATGGGCAGAATGACTATACCGTAAAATTGGGAAATCTTCTTCGAAGTCTTAAGGACTGCTCGTACGATGTGCCACCATATAAATCCATCACGAATATACCACCCTTTTTAGACAAGGCTTCAAGAACATGCTTGAAATACAAAACAAGTTCCGTTAGTTTATGAAGACAACAACAACTGTAATTAAAAGTACATATAATGTCTCTTGCAGGTATTTTAGCATCTGCCCTAATGGACAATATACCACCCTCAAGCATGTTAAGTTCTGTTGTAGCAATCTAGGAATCATAATCACCTTCCTCCAGCTGAATGTTCTTTATCAGTTCTTGGTTTCAAAGAAAAAATATAGCTAAACTAAACACCAAATCTTGGTCGAGTGGAATGGCAGTGGCCTTGCTTTTCAAGAGGGCAAAAAGGAGAAGAAGAAGAGTCAAATGGTCGGTCAAACATGTTGAGTCAGTTGGTTTAGTAATTAACGGTTGTTAAAATCAAGTGACCATTTTGTAACAAATGATAATATCAGTGACCGATTTGTGACTTTTCAAACATTAATAGTGAAAACGAACACTTACCTAAACATTAGTGACCATTGGCGTATTTTAACCCAAAAAACCCACAAATAAAGTTCGAACATTAGAGCTTATGTTTAAATACTTCAAACTATAAAAGATTCCCCCCCCCCCCCAATAAATTAACATTATAAGTATCGATATGCAGAGAATAAGCATCTATACTTGACATTTTAAAATTATTTTTAAATTAAACTTTCATTCAAATATCGAACAAACATAAGTTTTGATATTTGTTATTTCAAAGTTATCTTGAATCTAAAGTTTAATACAAGTATCGAACATCATAACATAAATTTTGATATTTGTTATTGCGATATTATTTTGAAGTTAAAGTTTCATATAAGTATTAAATAGCATAAATTTCGATACACCGACGAGATGTGGTAATATGATAACCAAATATGTTTTCTTATAAATAACATCTTCAGTGACCTGCTTTTTGCCTGTCAATTAAAATAAATCCTTATTTTCTAAAAGTTGAATTTATTAGATATGGCATATAGGACTATTTATATTTCTTTAACATTATGTTTGGGATTTGTAAAATTCAATCTCAGAATCTTAAATGAATATACAACTCAAATAGTTATGATATTAGATTTTATCATATCCCAGTCAGCAAATTAATGCCCAACTTCGACGATTGTCAATTTTTAATGGAAAATGACGAGTTTAAAAAATATGAATAGTCGAGTGATAATTTTGTAACTTTTAATAGTCGACTGACTCGACAAATTAATATCCTATAGTCATGGAACATTTTGTAACTTTCGATATTAGAATGATTTAACAAAACAATATCTTATATCATAAGACAATTTGTGTACTTTATCCTATTAAATATTATAAATATATAGATTATTTTATAGATATTTCTAGATATCTCCTCTTTTTATATTTCTAGATTATATTTTAAATGATAATTATATATTTGTTTAGAAGTTACATTTGACTTGTTTAAGTTCTCCAGGAAAGTTGGGAGCGTTGTTTGCATTTTCACTATATTTGCTGTTGTGTACAGCGTTTTGTTTGGAAACGTAGATAAATACCAATACGTACGTATCACCATAGGACTTTTATTCTGTGTATATTGTGTTGCATTGCTTCTGACTATGGCTCTAATTGCTTTCGGCTTTCGTGGGGCTATCATTCTTGCAGTTTACCAACATGAACTCCATGAGAAACCTCTTTACCGTTGGCGTCGCATTGTTCTTTGGTTTGTCGGTTCCCGAGTACTTTAGACTTTAGAGAATACACTGCCAAGGCTCTACACGCTCCTGCTAAAACCAGGGCAGGATGGGTGAGTCCCCATGACACTTTTCTTATTCGACTCCTCTGCATATCAGCATACCATTCACTTGTACTATTTCTGGCATGCAGTTCAATGATTTTCTTAAACCATCTTCTTTTCATCTCCGACGGTTGCATTAATTGTTGCAACCGTACTCCTAGACAG